TTGGCCACACCTAGCCACACCTAAAAGGTTCACCATCACTGATCTAGATTATATTCCCCTTTGTTCTTTTTCAAGAACCAAATGGTTCTTGATTGTTCTATACCCATCAATGGAAAAGGACAGGAAAGAGAAGACAGCATAGGAAAGGGATAAGAAATGCAAAGGGGTGGGGGGAATCATAGACTCATAGGATTGGGAGGGAACTTGGAGGTAAAAGACTTTTTGGCTCATCTTCGGCTGAGATTAAATGCATGTAGTCCTGCATTAGCCAAATTTTCTTCTTGAAACACAAATATTAATATTTTTATTTCTCTTTCTTTTAGGTTCAGCCCAGCTGGTACTTGACAGTATCCCATTTCTTGAAATAAAGCACTGTAATGGACCCGAAATCATCCTCCCTTGTGTGGTAACTAATCTGAAAGAGAATAACAGTATTTCAATGTTTGTGAAATGGCAATTTCAAGGAAATCAATTTTTCCTTTATGATGGAGTTACTGATAACGCTACCAGAAACAATAGTTTTGATACTGCAACTTTTCTGAACCGCTCAATGGTACCCTACGGCATTGTTTCACTTGTTATATCAACAAAGCAGGCTCTTCTCGGAAATTATACTTGTGAAGTGACAGAAGTAAATAGAGAAGGAAGAACAAAATTTGAACTGAGAGACAGTTCAGGTAAGTTACTTGTTTACATTTTCTGTGAAATCCACTGAAACTTTGGTTTTAAAATCTATCCATCCATATTTTGGAGAAGATAATGTGATCATCAGAAGAATACAGATGTCAAGTTTGGCTTAATATAGCTAGTTATAATTTGGGTTTATCAATCATAATATCCCTTTCCTTGAAGCCTGTTTGTATAAAATAATATGAGAAGTATATAAACTAGGCAGAGTATAGTGACTTACAATTTCCACCACTCCATATCCATGAGTAGGACAGGGAAGTAAAGTGTGAATAAGAGAATCTAAAATGTTCCACTTTGGGCAAGTTTGGTAGTTTCACCGTGGAATGAAATTTAATTTTCAGGTGGTGATTGAGAAATAGTTTTCATAGTCCTCCAGTATGTGTTCCTAAGACACTGAGAGAGGGCAAGGAAGAGGTAGCCAGAGAATCTGTTGAAATGTAAGAATCAAACTTCTTGTTTTCCTTGTAGCACCAAATAATGTTGCCACAGGAAGGACTTTTAGCTTTTTGCTGTAAAGCAGCCAGGAAGGATATGCAGACAGTTTTGTGCATACGCACTGTCTTTATCCTGTCCTTTCAGAGGACATCACTACTGACTTTGCAGGCTTAATCTGCTACTTTCTCAGGCCTGAGTCATAATGTCTAATAATAGATGAATGGAATGAAGATTTGCATTCGATATAAAGAGGTAAATTAACAGTGATGAAATCTGGACAAAAGCTCTAATCCAGAAATATGCATTGGTTGGTTCTGAAATGATTTTCTCTCCTTGGAGGTTTGATCAGAGTGAAAAGTTGACTGGAAATATATCATTAGCAAATCATTAGGAAATAATTGATATCAAAGTGTTCTCATATAAGGTTTTTCCACTTCTGCCTCTTCAAATATTTGGGTTGCCAAACTTTAGTTGTCCTAGGTCCCTTTGGAACTGAAAAGAACCATGAAAACTTTCACTGCACGATGGCTATTGTGAAGGAATATCATTTCATGCCATGGGGGTTTGAAAATAAAGGTTAAAATCTGATTGTTAGCTAAGATTATCCCATGCCGTTTTTCAATAAGATTAAAAAACTATTTCCCCCCACAAGTCAATAGGATTAGCACTTTATTTTAGCGCTGTCTAGTAAAAGTTGAAGTAAATCTGTTGGATGGGGGAAGTGGTGTTGGTAAATGCCATGCTGTTATTCTCAGCCATATAACTTTGTAGCCATACTTCAGAAATGCAAAGAAAAGCCAATTGAAATGCCCAGCAAATGCAAAGTGTCTTTAGGGAAACACCCAAAAGGAACATTTTTAGCTATTTCTGACCCTAGATGGGTCATTGATACTTATGAAAGCAGAGACTATGACTATTTAAAAGGTTTCCAATATGTTATTGTTTTGTTGACCCCAATGTGTGGTATTCAGGGGTCCTCGGCTGGTCTATTAACGCAGTTCCGGTGGAAGTAGCCTTGCATCCTGATGCGCTGCCAGTCTCCATTTGTCAGTATCCAATTAGCCTGGAAGCTTTACAGGGGTTAGATTTTCTTGTTTATGGGCTTCTCAGAGAGACAGTCCTTATAATACAATGATTCGGCCCGTCAAAAAACCAGATGGCTCTATCCGTTTGTGCCAGGACTTAAAAGCCATTAATCAGATCACTGTGACACTGCATCAAATGGTACTAATCCCTATACTCTGATTTCTCAGAGTCCGTTTCTTACCTGGTACACAGTTATTGATCTAAAAGATGCTTTCTTTTGTGTCCATTTGGCCCCTGTTAGCCAGCCACTCTTTGCTTTTCAGTGGCAGCATAGGCAAGTTTGCTGGACTGTTTTACCCAAGGATTCAAAAATAGCCCTACTATCTTTGGCAACGTCCTGGCCACTGATCTAGCCACATGGCAACTTGTGGAGAACACCATTGCTGTGGTATTACAATATGTCAATGACTTGCTGGTAGCTGCCTCCACTGAAGGTGATTGTCTCTTGAATTCTGTTTCCTTGTTAAATTCCCTTTGTTATTGGGGCTATAAAGTTTCTTGTACTACAGCCCAGCTTGTCCGACAAGAGGTTCGGTATTTAGGTTATATTCTATCACAAGGAACTAGAAAATTATTCCCAGAGAGGATCCAGGCTGTGTGCCTACTTAAACCACCTGGCACTAGATGCCAGCTTCGGGGTTTCTTGGGAATGGGAGGTTTCTGCCATATCTGGATTCCAAACTTTGCTCTAATGGCTAAGCCCTTGTTTCAGGCCACCACAGGCTCAGACAAAAAAACCCTTTGAATGGACCAAGGATTGTCAGGTGGCATTTGATAACATTAAAACTGCTTTATTAAATGCTGAGGCCCTTGGCATTCCTGATGTCACTCAACCGTTCACTTTGTTTGTGGCAGAAAGAAAAGGGGTAGCTGCTGGAGTCCTTACTTAGACTCTTGGTACTTGGTCTCGCCCAGTAGCCTATTTCTCCAAACAACTTGATCCTGTTGCTCAAGGATGGCTGGCATGCCTTGGGCCACAGCAGCTGCTGTTCTCCTATTGGAGGCTGCTGAACAATTAACTTTTGGGGCTCCTATCACAGTGGAAACACCTCATTCCATTCAAGACTTGTTAGCATCCAACGGGGGCCATTGGCTTACAGCCTCCCGTTTGGAGCGGGATCAAATTGCACTCCTTGACAACCCCCAAGTTCATATCAAGCACAGGGGCAGGTTCAACCCAGCAGCCTTTCTTCCTTAACTGGAACAGGATGGTGATCATGATTATGTGCAAACTATTACAGAAGTGTTTTCTGGCCGGCCAGATTTAACTGACCAACCACTAGACAATGCGGACAGAAACCTGTGTACAGATGGCAGCAGTTTTATGAGACAGGGAGAAAGGCTAGCTGGCTATGCTCTGGTCACATTGGATCAGGTAGTGGAAGCAGCAGCTCTCCCCGCATGTACCTCAGCTCAAAAAGCTGAACTTACTGCCTTGATGAGAGTCTTGGAATTGTCAGGTGGTGCGGTTGTTAATATATTTACAGACAGTAAATTTACTTTTAGTGTTATACATGTACATGGGGCCTCATGGAAGGAGCGTAGTTTGCTCACCGCTCAAGGCACCCTCGTTAAATATTGACAGGACATTTTAAGGCTGCTGGATGCTGTTTTGCTCTCGCACTAGGTGGTTGTCATGCATGTGAGGGTCCATGGCAAGGATGATACTAAACATGGAAAGGGAAATGCCTTGGCCGACTGCACAACAAAGTCTGCCACTTCAGGTCCCCTGTCCCCTTTGTACGTTGGTGCACTTGTACTTTCACATTTGCCTGTGGCAGCTCCAACATACACTTCGCAGGATAGACATAGAGCTTATAAAATGGATTGCTGTTTATCACAGACATTGGCTGGAGAAGGACGGGAAACGCCTTCTCCCAGAACATGAACTATTGGCCCTCTTAAGAGAATTGCATGCCAGCTCTTATTGGGGTTACAAGACCATGGCTGAATTTGTTATAAAAGACTACATTTGTCCTGGAATCTGTGACAAGGCCCTCGTAACGATCAAGGAATATGTGATTTGTCAATGCAATAATCCTGTGAAAGCTATTAAGTTCCCCTAGGGAGGCTTAGGGCTGGCCATGATCCTGCTAGTTTTTGGGAAGTTGATTTTACTGGGTTGCCAAGGAAACAGGGTTTTTGTGGATGCTTTTTCTGGATGGATTGAGGCCTTTCCCTGTCGTACTAACAAGGCACATGAGGTGGTCAAGGCCTTCCTGAAGGAAATTATTCCTTCCCATACCAAGTCATTGGCTTTGACAATGGATCCCACTTTATCTCTAACATTACCCAGCAGGTGGCTCAGGCCCTAGGTATTGATTGGCAGCTTCATTCGGCCTATCGGCCCAATCTTCGGCACGTGTGGAGAAGGCCAATGGCATTCTTAAACGTCATCTTGCCAAGCTTGGCCAGAAATGCACCTCACTTGGGTTCAGGCGCTACCTCTCACTCTTTTCCGTATGAGGACCACTCCTAAGCAATCTCTTGGCCTGTCCGCCTTTGAGATCATATATGGTCAACCCTTTCTTTACCATTCTTTCTCATTCATTTCCTTCCCTGTTTTCGGAGACCGGGCCCTCAGGGAATACATGCACTCTCTTGCTAATAATGATTCTTCCATTTCACTAGTTGTTCAGGCCCTCCATCATCCGGGATTGGATCATCTACTCTATTCTTTCCTTCCTGGTGATTGGGTGCTTGTCAAGTCCTGGACTGATTCTGGCCCTTTGGCTGAACGCTGAAAAGATCCCTTGGTTGTTCTTCTCACTACTCACACTGAGGTCAAGGTTGCTGGGATTTGTTCTTGGATTTATCACACCTGCCTTTGCTCTTTTTCCCCAGCATCCAACGCTGAGATCCTCAAGTGTCTTGGACTGTAGCCCCTGGTACTAAGGATGACCTTGAGCTGACCTTTGTTTCGAGACCGACGTTGACCTGTATGCCAGGACGTTTTGGTCACTGTTATACCTATGCCCGCTGGGCTTCTTCTTGAGCAGTTTTCTCTCACTGGCTCCCTGCCTACTTATGTCACAGACGTTGCTCCTTTCTGCCTTGATTGCCATCTTGTTCTTTGTTTGGATTGTTCATTTCTTCTTTTCTGTTACTCTGTATTGTTTTTCTTTTTATACTCCATTGACAGAGGAAATGTTTAACCACACCATACAGGCATTTACACAACTCAATAAGAAATAAGGAGAAATAATGCAAGTAGTGTTATAGATTTGTCAAGCATTAGATATGGTACTGGCAGCAAAAGGTAGTGTGTGTGTTTTAATTCACTCACATTGCTCCACTTTTATCACTGATTATCAAGTTAATATTACTAACACCATTCATCTCATGGCAGAAGGAATCAAGAATTGCCCTAAGGATCTGGAGATTTCCACTGATGCTGTATGGGGAGTCTTCAGTGATATATTCTCATTCCTTACCAGTTAGCTCCTGGGATGGGGATGGTCTTCTC